TTGCAAGGAATAGTAGCAACGTATGCAGATGATGCAAAACTTGGTAGCATTATAAACTGTGAGGAGTACAGTACAGAATCTCCAAAAGGACATATAGAAATTGGCAGAGTGGGCAGATGGGTGGCCGACAAAGCTCAATAAGAAGTGTGGTATGATGCATTTTGGAGGGTGACCTTTGTTAGGCAATACAAAATAAGGGTACAGTAGTTATGCAGTGCAGGAGCCGAGAGACCTCGGTGTATATTTGCATAGACCACTGAAGGTGGTAGGACAGGTGGAGAAAGAAATTTAAAAAGCATACAGTATCCTGGTTTTATTAATAGGGGCCTAGAGTATAAAACCATAAAGTTTATGCTGAACTTCTATAAGATATTTGTTAGACTTCAGCTTGACTACAGTGTACAGTTCTGGATGCCACTTTAGAGGAAGGAAATGGACATAGTGGAGAGGCTGCAGACAAGATTTACAACAATGGCTCCAGGACGAGGAACTTCAGTTATGAGGATAGGTTGGAGAGGTTCTTTTTGAAGAAAAGGCAGCTAGCAGTTTTCAAAATCATTAGAGTTCTGCGTAGAGTAAATAGAAACTATTCCAACTTATAAAAAACGGACAATGAGGGGGCATTGATTTAAAGTGATTTTCAAAAGTAGCAAAAGTGACATGGGAAAAAGCTATTTCAAACAATGAGGGATTGAGGTCTGGAGTGCACTGCCTGGATGTGTGATGCAGACAGAGTCAATTGAGACTTCAACAGTGCACTGGATGACTGTTTGAATAGAAACAATGTGCAGGAGAATGGCACTAAATCACAACTCTCACTGGAAAGCTGTTGCAGACATGATGGGCTGAATGGCCTCCTTCAGTATTGTAACAATTCTGTGATTCTGTTTGTTCAGATGTTATGGCTTAGGGAAGCATATGAAAGATACGGGCAAGGAGAGCTTCTTGGGATGCACCGGGGGTAATGGTGCAGGAACGGGAGCGAAGCCATTGGAGATGATTTGCTAGAATTAAATAAATAAGGTAAATGCAGCCCTGTCCAGCTGCATAGTGGTGGGAAAGGTTTGGAGGAGGATAGTATGCTCACCCTTGACCACAGACAGATTGAAAAAGATAAGAACAGAAACTTTTGGCACATTAACACTTGACCTTATTTGTGACTTTAATAAGAGTTATTTCATTCAAGTGATAGAGTGATACAGCACGGAAATAGACCCTTCGGCCCACGTCTATGCTGACCAAGAAACACCAAACTACACTAATCCCATTTACCTGTACTTGGTTAAGAGTCCACTGTGCCTTGACGTTGTACATGCTCATCCAGATGGTTCTTAAATGTTGCATGAGTATCTGCTTCCACCACCCTCTCAGGCAGTATGTTCCATATTTCTAACATGCTCTAGGTAAAAAAAAAACGTTTTTCTCAGATCTCCTCTAAATCATTTGCAGGTCATCTTAAACTTATGCCCTTTGGTCTTGGACATGGGGAAGAAATTCTCATGATTTGCCCTGTCTATGCTTCTCAAAATTTTGTATATCTCAATCAGATCTCCCCTCAGCCTCCCTTGCTTCAAGGAAAACAAACGCAACATATACAATCTCTGGTCATATCTGAGATTTCTCATCCCAGGCAACATCCTGGTGAATCTTCTCTGCACCCTCTCCCATGTAATCATGTCCTTCCAAATGTGTGACAACCAGGACTGAGCACAGTTTTCCTTCTGTGGCTTAACCAATGTTTTATAAAGTTGTAACAAGACTTTGTTGCTCCTATATTCTACACCCCTCCTAATGAAGATAAGTATCCTGTCTACAACCCTGTCTACCTGTGCTGACACCTTCAGGGATCTATGGACTATTACACTAAGGTTCCTTCGTTTCTCAGTACTCCGTAGCGACCTACAATTCACTGTGTATATCTTTTCCTTATAAGACCTCCAAAAATGCATCATCTTGCACTTATCAGAATTAAATTCCATCTGTCATTACTCTGCCCAATTTACCAGCTGACCAATATCAGACTGTAGCTTGAGACTATACTCCTCACTATCAACAAGACCTGCAATTTTCGATTCATTGGCAATCTTTTTAATCATACCTTCTACCTACATATCCAAGTTGTGAATGTAAATAACAAACAGCAAGGGTCCCAGCACCAATCCCTGTGCTATACTATTGGTCACAGGCTTCCAATTACAAAAGAACCCTTCCACCATCACCCCTTGCCTCCTATTTGTAAGCCAATTTTCATTTCTGTTTACCAACTTGCCTTGGATCTCATGGGCCGTTACTTTTTGGACCAGCCTTCCACGTGGGACCGTATCAAAGGCCTTACTGAACGTAAACCACATCAATTGCACTAATCTCATCAATATATTTAGCCACTTTTTCAAAAGAACTCAATTAAATTAGTCAGGCAGGATCTCTCTCCAACAAATCCATGCTGACTATTCCTGATCAATCCCTGCCTTTTCAGGTATTGTTTAATCCTGTCCTTCAGAATTTTTTCCAATAACTTTCCTATCAGGGCCAGCAGTATAAAATATATCTGCTAGAGCCCCAGCAACTTCCTCCCATGCCTCCCATAACAGTAGCGTAATAGTGTTGGAAATCTGATCCCAAGGATTTAAACATAAAGGTCAAAGTAAGGTGGGCACATATTAGTGAGGCAACAAGTTTCTGAGGAAGTGTCACCAGACCCGAAACATTAACTCTGTTTTCTCCTTCACAGATGCTGCCAGACCTGCTGAGCTTTTCCAGCAACTTTGTTTTTGAACAAGTTTAAGGACATTGGGTAACAATGGAAAGCTGGAGATGGAGTGTTAGTTTGCAAGAATGGAGAGGCCAAAGGATGTTTTTGAGAAGTGTGATGGTGTGGCTTTTGATAGAGAGAGGGACAATATTTGAAGAGGGAGAACCATAAACAATATTATCTAACATAGGGACCAGGAGGGCAAGCTGGATGGTCAGCAGGTTAATGGAATCAGGGTCAAAGGGACTATTGGTAAGTCTCTTGAACAAGGTGTGTTTGTACAGGCCATGAGAGAAGATAGGAAAGAAACTGAAGGAGGATGCAAACTCAGAGTTAAGCTGGGGTGGTGGTGGTGGTGTCGGGGTGGGGTTGCTTTAGGAGGCTTGGCTTCTTGGGTAATGTGAAGGGAGGGAAGCCTCAGAGGGCAGCTGATCATGATCTTAAGCTCAGTGACAAACAGGTCCGTGGACACCTTACTTTTGATTTTAGATGTGAAGGTGACAGAGGAGAGGGGTTTACTATTGAGAAAAGAAGTCAAAGGTTATATTTAAATTTGATATTGATCCTGGAATCATGGGCATTTTTAACAAATGAGAATAGCTCCATCCCAGACAGTATTGTGGATTGAAGCCTCTCATCTTGTTCCACTCCTCCTGAGCTTGACTGTCAGGAAAAGTGAAGATAGTATCAGGGGGGACATCTGGCCAAGGGGTAAAAGGTGAAAAGACCACAACAAGCCCCAAGCCTGTGAAGACTTGTCCCATTGAACTAATCATAGAAACATAGAAAACAGGAACAGGAGTAGGCCATTTAGCCCTTGAACCTACTCTGCCATGGCTGATCGTCCAACTCAGTATAGTTGTTAACAAAATTACTGGAAAAGCTCAGCAGGTCTGGCAGCACCTGTGGAGAGAAATCAGTTAACACTTTGGGTCCAATGATCCTTCCTCTAAAGCTCTCACTTTTGTCCCATACCCTTTGATCCCCTTTGTAGTAAGAACGGTATCTATGTTTGGGCTTCAACCACTTTTTGTGGTACAGAATTCCACAGGCTTCCCATCTCTGGGTGAAGATATATCTCCTCATCTCAGTCCTAAATGGCTAGTCCATATCCCTAGACTGCCACTGCTGGTCATCAGAACATCCTTCTTGCGTTTACCCTGTCTAGTCCTGACAAAACTTTACAGGTTTCTATGAAATCCCTTGTCCCCATTCTTCCAAACTACAGTGACTATAGTCCTAAATGATCAAGTCTCTCTTCATACCTGATAGAACCCCTACAGCATGAAAGCAGGCCATTTGGCCCATTAAATCCAAACTGATCCTCCGAAGAGCATCCTACCCAGACCCACCCCTTCCTTGTAATCCTGCATTTCCCATGGTTAATCCGCCTAGCATGCACACCTTTGGAGTGGCACAGTGGCTCAGTGGTTAGCACTGCTGCCTCACAGTGCCAGGGACCCAGGTTTGATTCCAGTCTTGGGTGACCGTCTGTGTGGAGTTTGCATGTTCTTCCTGTGTCTGTGTCAGTTTGCACTGGGTGCTCTGGTTTCCTCCCATACTCCAAAGATGTGCAGGTTAAGTGGATTAGCCATACGAAATTGTCCATAGTGTTCACGGATGTGTAGGTTAGGTGCATTACCTATGGGAAATATAGGGTTAGGCGATGGGTCTGGGTGGAATGGTCTTCAGAAGGTCCATATGGACTTGTTGGGCCAAATGGCCTGTTTCCACACTGGGGATTCTATGAACTATAATTCTATTCTATCTCTGGACACTATGGGCAATTTAGCATGGTCAATCCGCCCAACCTGCACATTTTTGGACTGTGGGAGGAAACCCACACAGACACAAGGTGAATGTGCAAACTCCACACAGAGCTCACAAGAGGATTGATCTGTGATATTGAGGCAGCAGTGGGGGTTTGGTGGGGTGTCAGGGGGTGGCAGCTAGGGAGGGGAGTCTGGGGTGCGGCTTTTCAAAGGGGCCAGAAGTTAGGGTAAGGTTTGGGGTGTAGGAGGGGTGGTGAAGAGTGGGGCGGAGCTCTCCTCACTCTGAACCCTGCATAACTGGAGTCGACAAGGAACCCACAGACTGACAGACCGAGTGTCCAATGAACGGTTATGATCTGCACCTGGCCCCGTCCTTCCATGCGTCATTTAACTGACAGATCAGCCCAATCAGGTAGACGTTTGTTAGTGGATGAACCAATGGGATGCGAAAGAGGCGGGGTTTTTCTATGGGGTGGGACTCTGAGGGATGCCGGGAGGAAGGAGTTGGATAAGGAATTAAAAATCTGCTTTGATATTAGGTAGGACTTCTGTGAGAATACTTAACTCGAGTTATAATCATAGCAAGGAAGGCTTAAATGAGTGTGTGCTTTTTAAAAGATGCTCTGGAGTAAAAGGCAATTTAATTCTAAAATGAAGAAAAATCTTTCCTTGTGTTGATTTCCGGTTGAATTTTCTCACTCTTTTTGTAAGTGTAACTGAGAACTCTAAACTCAAGTTGTCACTGCCTTAAAACATATTGAGGTTTGTTCATTTGTCAATGGGTGTTTGTTAAAACAAGCATCTATCTTACGAAGAAAGACAGTTTATTCTCCCAATATCTTTCACAACTTTAGATTGTTCCACATGCTCCACAGCTAAGGAGGTATCTTTGAAGTCAGCTGACTGTTCTAATGTAGTAAATGTGCAAGTCAGTTTACACCTTTCTTGCTATTCCCCACATAACAGGGTCTCAGTGCCACGCTGTAGTCAAGGAAAGTGTAGAGTTCAGGCCAGCTGCTGTTGCAATGGGGAAATAGAGAATATCTGGACAGTCTACCACTTGCACCTTCCCAAAATCCACAAACAGGACTGCCCTGACAAACCCACTATTTCAGCCATTTTCTACCGCAGACATCCACCCCCTCTGGGTGAAAACTTTCCTCAAATCCCTTCTAAACCTCCTGCCTTTCACCTTAAAATTATGCCCCCTTGTATTGACCCTTCAACAGAAGGGAACAGCTGGTTTCTCTTCACCTTGTCCATGCCCCTCATAATCACAAGTATCTCTGTCAGGATCTCCCCCTCAATCTTCTCTGTTCTAAAGCTAACAACCCAAGCTTATTCAGCCTTTCTTCAGAGCTGAAATATTCAATCCCACGCCAAGCTGGTGAATCTCCTCTGCATGCCCTCCAGTGCGCTGGCGTGGATTGGGAATGGACAACCAGGGGACAGGTTGACTAATTTGACACTGATTTCAGCAGGAATTTCTTCATTGAGGAGATAGTAAATCTTTGGAATTCACTGACCCAGAGGACTGTGGAAACTCAGTCATCGAGAATGTTCATGACAGAGCTTGATTGATTTCTACACCGATTATCAAAGGATACATGGATAGTTTTGGAAAATGGTGTTGTGGTAGAAGATCATCTACATTTTAGTTTAATGGTGAACCAGACTGGAGGGGCTGAGAGCCTACCCCTGCTTCTGTATTGTCCACAGCTATGAGGTTTGGTTTCCCAATCAAGGTTTCATATTGCAGGTAGTGTATGAAATATGCTTTTTTTTCTGTCCAAAGACCATCACAACCTTGCCTTCAATACCTGATTGTAGAAAATCTTGGCGTCGAGGTACATGCAAACACTCTGTTCACAGAAACTGATGAGGTGTTAATTCAGTTGGCCAAACACCCAGTGCTAGTTGGTAATTCCACCACCCATGTTCATGGGTATGGGCTCCGTGCTTCCTGCAGCCCATGCAGGGGCGATAAGCTCATGTACTTCACCCTGCTTTAAGTTCAATGACAATCTGTCTGGAGGATTTCAGTGTAATGATCCAACTGGATAATCTTGCAGATCCCATGACATTTTGCAGTTGATCCCATGTCCCCCACTTCCTTCAAGACCACAGTGTAACAAACCATCCAACACAGGACCTCCACTGCATATTTTGCTAACCAGATCATAGAATCATGCAAAAGAGGCCCTTCAGCCCATCGAGTCTGCACCAACATATGAAAAACATCCGACCTTCAACCTAATTCCATTTACCTGCACTTGGCCATAACTTTGAATGTTATGATGTGCCAAGTGCTCATCCAGGTACTTTTTAAAGGTCAGCCTCAGAAAGCAATTTGCCTCTACCACCCTCCCAGGCAGCACATTCCAGTCTGTCACCACCCTCTGGGTAAAAAACCTTTTCCTCACATTACCCCTAGCCAACAGTAGGGAGGAGCAATTTGACAAGAGCAATGTTGTCCAATGCTAGAATTTCCAGACATATGCAGTGAACTGGTTCACAAGATTGGAAGTAATTCAAGGTTTCTCAATACCTGTTACTATTTCAGGGGGCATTTTTACAATCCTTTACATAAGGTCATATCTTTCGATTCTGGTGTTGCTGTGATACTGTAATAAGGACATTGTAAATAAAATTTACCACTTTGTAAAGCCTGTGCAAAGCAGTGAATTATGTAAAGAGCAGCGAGTGGGAGTGATTGAGGGAAGTCTTATCTCTTTCTCTCTGTGCATTCTTTATCACAAGATGATGATTTTTTTTATTCCCTGCTACTACTTTGAAGGATTTTGCTGGATGTAATTCTACGGATGACAGCAGCCCATGACTACCTTGCTAATTGGTTGTTTGACCTTGGAATGTGTCATACCATAGATTAGTCTTGCCCTATTATATGTGACTGCAACCATACAACTCATTCTCACTCACAAACCCACTCCGTATTCACACATGCAGTCACACATACTTCTGCATACATCCACACATCATTTTATACGTACACACTCATTTACATGTACATTCTCACGTGCGTGCCCCCACTCTCTTGCACACGCTTGTCTGTAGACTTGTGCATACTCTCACATGCATGTAGCCGTACACTGTCACGTACATGCAAGCCCTGCCCCTGTACCAGCTCCTCGATATTGAAGTACAATACATGTAAGCAAATAATTAAGTGAAAGTGTAGGGAGGTAAAGGCTCCGACACAAATTAATGAACATTATTAAACCTCTGGAGATGTTCAGGGAGGCCAATGGCCATGTGAAACGGTGAAGGAAAGGCATCAGGAGGAGATTCCATGCTTTGTTCTGTGATATTTTCAATGATGGGAGTGATAGTGGTGAGGCAGCCCTCTGATGTGGGAGGTGGGGGCCAATTAAACAAATGAATTGTTACTCCCACCAACCACCAACCTTTACTGATGTAGGCTCTTGACTCATGCAGAGAGTCTGCCAGGTAAATGGAGGCAGCTGTCCATTGTATTTGTGAAAAGTGTCTTTGATAACGGCTATCAATTGCCCACCAAAGTGTCCCCTGAGTGGCAAAGCTCCGCACCCCACTTCAAGGATTCAGTGCTACCTGAGGGCCACCATCCTACTATCCCACCAGCATCCACATCCAGAAGATCATCAGATGCCATTTCCACCACCTCCAGCAAGATGCCACCACCAGACACATATTCCCCTCCCCTCCCTTGTCTGCCTTCCGCAGGGACTGTTCACTCCGGGACACTTCGGTCCACACTCCGTTCACCTCCAACACCTCCCTACAGCCCTACGGCACCTTCCCCTGTAACCGGCAAAGGTGCAACACCTGCCCATTTACCTCCTCCCTCCCCAGTATCCAAGGGCCCAAACATACCTTCCAGGTGAAGCAACACTTCACCTACACTTCCAAGAATCTTGTCTACTGCATTCGCTGCTCACAATGTGGTCTCCTCTACATTGGGGAAACGAATGTTGACTTGGCGACCGCTTCGCAGAACATCTACGTTCTACTCACAAAAAAGACCCTAAACTACCTGTTGCCTGCCACTTCAATGCACCACCTTGCTTCCTGGCCAACATCTCTGTCTCTGGCTTGCTGCAGTGTTCCAGTGAAGCCCAATGCAAGCTGGAGAAACAACACCTCATTTTCCGCTTGGGGACCCTACAGCCCAGTTCTGGATTCAATATTGAGTTCAATAATTTTAGGGCCTAAACTCTCCCATGTCCCAGTCCCCCACCCCACACACCAGGCCTTGTTACCACATAGCCTGCCACTACACACCCGCTGTTGTTAGTCACTAACAGTCCCCATTAACAACTATTCAGCCTCCCAGCCTAATCGTTAGCAACTCCTTTGTCTGTCCAACTGTCTTTCTCTCTCTCTGGGCTCTATTCTATTGTTTACTCCCTACCCTACGCGCCTCCCTATTTTCTGCAAATAAACTGACATTTTCCCAGCCACCATCAGTTCTGAGGAAGGGTCACCTGACCCAAAACGTTAACTCTGTTTTCTCCTCCACAGATGCTGCCAGACCTGCTGAGCTTTTCCAGCAACTTTGTTTTTGTTCCTGATTTACAGCATCCGCAGTTCTTTTGGTTTTTATTTAGGTTTTAGGGCCTGCCTGCCTGGTTCTGCTACAGCAAATGCCCTAATTCCTGAGGGTTTCTCAATGTGGGGGAGCCCTCTTTGTCTCCCTACAATCACCATTGAATGGCTGGTCCCTGATGTTGCGACCTGCTCTGAGAGGTCAGATGGCCTCTTAATTGGTGCCCACCAGATTACATTCCTGCCTACTGGAATACAATCTTGCCCAGAATATAATCCTGCCTGGGATAAATACTCACCCACAGCTTCTGCCTTTACTACCCGTTCTTCTCACCCCCTAGTGCCCCTCACCCCCCAGCCTCGCCCTGTTCCTCACCCCCATTTCCCCTTCACCCTCTATCTCCTTCTTCCCTTTGCCCTTGATTCCCCCCTCATTCCCAGCCCATGTAATTAGCCATTCTTCCTGTGGACTGTCGTGGTCAGCAGAGGTCAGGTACTACTCTGGTTCACGCAGTGGCTAGGTCCATCTTGGCATTATGTATAATTGCTCCATTAGTCACTCAGTTATAATGGTTATTGGATTTCAGCATTAGCCCCACTGTCTCACTGCAAAGAGCAGCTTGAACAGATCCTATTCCTTGCATTATTCTGCTTCACGGTGAATTCAATAACTCAGTGTGGAGGTGGGGGTGCGAGGGAGGGAGACAATATTCTTTGTTGATGATACTTTGGGAAGTGACAGAGGAAGACAGGGCTTGTGTAATCTTCCATGTGCTGGGCAGTGCAGCTGTGCCTGGTAGTGAAGAGGTTGCTGTCATCAAGGGGATTGTTTAAACCTGATGTTGCCTTCCTGCAAAGCAAATAATCTGTTTACTGTGTAACATTTTTTTGTTCAGTTATCAAGAGAATTCTCCCAACAGGAAATGAAACAGAAATAATAGTAACTGTGTGTTTTAGACACAATGCAAATTTAACCATTTCAGGACTGCAACAG